GACATGTCGAAACCTGCCCTGATTTTTTTTTTCACTGCAAGAGTACACACAACAAAATCCACTGTCAAAATTTTAGCTGCTAATACGTACTGCAAGTATTTTTTAAAAAATTGCCGAATTTACTCATTTTTTCTGTACGCGGAACCGCTTGTACCAGAGGTGTTTGTACAGCCCCAGCCTATGCTGTGAGTCAGCCGTGTTGCGTGTTGCGTACTGCTTTGCTAGAGGTGGACATTTCTCCAAGGGGCTTGCAGGCTACAATGTTGACCATGTTCAGCAGTTTTTAAAAAATACTTGCAGTGCGTATTAGCAGCTAAAATTTTGACAGTGGATTTTGTTGTGTGTACTCTTGCAGTGAACAGGTAGAGGCCTTGCGACGAGCTGATCACCCGCCCAAGGAGTCCTACCGAATGTGTAAGATCTAGAAAAACCGAAGTGAACGGAGAAGTTCATGGAGGGAGGCCTAGGCCCACTGAGGCTGTAGTGCCAAGGAAAAAAAAACTCTTGCAGTGAAAAAGAAATCAGGGCAGGTTTCGACATGTCGGAGCAGATCATTCCCTTGTTAGTTGCATTAGCGTTACATAGATCTTGCAATCATTGTGCTTTAGAGGTTTCAAATGTCCGTAACGGTTCCATTTTCCTCTTTCCAGTTTCCTCTTGAATTTCCTCTGAAATTTCCCTGGAGCCTTCCGCCACCTGTCTTCATCCATTCGATCTATAGCTTAGTCTTTTCTTGTACGCAGTAATCTCTTCACCTAACTAAGTAACTAACTAAATAAATAACAAACTAACTAACGAACTGACTCATGGAGCAGAATCCTTCAGGAGAAGATAATAGTCACCCAGATAGTCAAGAAATTCACGTCACTTAATGGAACCCGAAGAATTTTTGCCGTGTTCACAAGAGTTGAACACAGATGCCTTTCCTGAATCTTTTCAACTATGTGATTTGTCATAGGCTTATTACGTACTACGTATGTTTTATTGCCTCCTCGTGAGTACGTATTCAGGGTTCGTACAATTGTCGTCTCCGTCCATTTTGTTCTTCTTTTGTTCACGCCTGCCTTGCAGTCACGTTTTAGTACTTGTTAACTGCTTGTAAATCCTGAGAATTTGATACATGCTGACAGACTCTATCAGCTTTCGAGTATTCCAAGTCGTCCTCCTCATGTAGTACGACAACATAAGTGAACGGCTTGGCTACTCAGCAGTATTCATATTTTGTTTATGTATTTGTAGCTTATTTAACCACACGATCAGTATCAGCCCGTATATCGTCGAATGAGTAAATGATAATGACAAATTGTTTGAAGAGGATGGGGAAGGAAGAGGTCTCGGCCTTATTCAGGCACTACCAGTTAAAAAACAAAAAAGAATCAATTAATTTTGACCGAATTAAAAAAAAATTGGAGCATAATTTTAACCACGTTTGGGCAACATTCTAGAACAACGAAATAAAAATAATATAGCGCAGCAAGTACATAATATAATGTGCCTGATGATGTTTCTATAAGATCGAAAAATGTCGAAGAAACATCTACAATACATCTCTCTCTCTCTTGCTCCCACTTTGGAACATAGGGCTGATTTCTGTTTCATTATTATTTTACAGACGGTAGGACTCCTTGGATCAAGGAATATGAGGTGGGTAGGGCATGTAACACGAATGGGGGAGAAGAGGAATGCATACCGGATATTGGAGGGAAAGCCAGAAGGAAATAGACCACTGGAAAGACAAAGGCGTAGGTGGGTGGACAATATTAAAATGGATCTTAGAAAGATAGATGGGATGGTGTGGATTAGATTGATCTGGCTCAGGAGAGGGACCAGTGGAGGGCTCTTGTGAACACTTTAATGAACCTTCAGGTTCCATAAATGCTGCGAAATTCTTGAGTAGCTGCAGAATTGGCGGCTCCTCAAGGAGGGCTCAGCTCCATGAGTAAGTAAGGATTCCTTGGACGAGTGAGCAGCTCGTCGTAAGAACGCGCTACCTAAACACAGGACAGCACAAACACAGAATGAACACATACACACACCAAATATCCATGTCTTGTGTGGGATTCGAACCCACGATTCCGGTTTCCGAGCGAGCGAAGACAGTACATGCCTTAGACCGCTCTGCTACCGTGACCGGCTCTGTAATACATGACCACGTAATACACCTCAAGTCTACGAACGCGACAAGAAGTTGTATTTCCAAGACTACCCCTGTGAATCAAATTTGTCTGGGGTGGAGACTGAGTAGCACCACGACAATACTCCTCCACTGTTTCCTTTCCAGCGCTTTTTCTTTCCATCCACTGATTCCAAGTATTCGTAGATTTCGCTCGGAACTGTCTAGTCGCTTGTATTCATTTCCCTCCTCTTCTGGTTTGGAAAGGGTTAACTTAGCCTGTGCCCCTGCTGACAAGAATTGTTTACGGATGGAATTTATTAATTGGTGGCGTCTTTAATGCCGTAATTTCATCTGTTCTCTCTATTCGAAGGCGGGCTGAATTTCAGATTCTCCAGGTGTGTCGGAACAAAATCTTGATTCTGTTCGTGGGATTGGACCCGTGGGTATTTTCGAAGAGTATAGGTTGGGGGAAGGGCAGTGAAATTTGGAAAGGCATGCAGTATGAACTAGCGCGCTGGGAATCTCTCGGCAGTGACGATTGGCTGGTGCACAGAGCCACGCGCTTGCAGGAAGGTCGGTACAGCATTTCGTGGCATTAAATTTATATGTTCTTTAACGTTAATCGTCTCATAACTTGAATTAGCTGTCGTGATTTTTTTTCGAATTTTTTTTTCTAGTGTTATGATACGAACCTTACATTCAAAAGTTTTTATCCCTGTCATAATAAATGGTAACTACACTTACCACTTAGAAATACTCGTCTAGTTTTTACAATTGAAGTACATCTTACATCATGCTTTACGTTCCCTTACTTCAAGCGAGTGAAGTGCCACCGTTCGGAAAGAAAGTGCTCAGAAAACTATTTGTTCTTAGGACAGACAAGTAAGTGGGTAATTGAAGATATGTACATAACGAAGAATTGTGTGGCTTGTACCTGTCACGTAGCAGAGCCATTGTAAGGGTAGGTAGGTTGTTCCCGTGCTTAACTAATTAAGCACTACGCCATGAAGACTTGTGGGAATAAGTATATAGACAGACGTTTCCCCGACCTCGGCACTAGTTGGTGAGTGGTCAGCTTCACACCCCGTCCGCTCTACCTTAGGGGAAACAATCCCCGGTACCCACTGGATACGAGATTGGGTGGCATCAGAGTCAGTCTGGACGATATGGAGTAGAGCAAATTCTTGACCTCACCGGGACTCGAACTCCGACACCTTGGTCGTCTATCCCGGTTGTCAGTAATTGTAAGTATTGGAGCCAAGAAACTTGTAACAATACTGATTGGGAGACTTAGGGTTCTGCTAGCTGAGATTTAGTTTAATTATCCCACACTCCGATCCGCAGTTCAGATATTTGGGAACGATAACAGATCGAAACCTGATTCAGGAGGAAATTAAGAGGAGATTGAACTCGGGTAATGCTTGCTATCATTCAGTCCAGAACCTTTTGTCTTCTCGTCTGCTGTCCAAAAACATAAAAATTAGAATACAGAAAACTATAATTTTGCCGTGGTTCTGTATGGGTGTGAAACTTAGTCTCCGACATTAAAGGAGGAACATAGACTGAGGGTGTTTGAGAACAGGGTGTTGAGAATATTTGGACCGAAGAGAGATGAAGTGACAGGAGGTTGGAGAAAACTGTACAATGAGGAGCTTCATAACTTGTACTGTTCTCCAAGTATAAGTAGAATGATCAAGTCAAGGATGATGAGGTGGGTAGGGTATGTAGCACGAATGGGGGAGACGAGGAATGCGTATAGGATATTGGTGGGAAAGCCAGAAGGAAGGAGAGAAGTCGGAAGGTCGCGGGTTCGGTTCGGTTGGATTTTCTCAATTTACTTAATCCTTCCAGTCGCACTATGGCCCCGGGGTCGACTCAGCCTCTAACAGAAATGAGTACCAGGAATCTTCCTGGGGAGTAAAGGGCGGCCGGCGCGTAGGGCTGACAACCTTACCGCCATCTTTGAGCCGATTGTCTAGAAAATGTGGGAGCCTCAATATCTTACAACCCTATGGGCCTTCACGGCCTGTTACAGGGATAACTTTACCATTTTAAGGGATGTGTAGCTCATGCCAATTGCACTAACTTCGTCGAAAAGCGGCGGTCGCTCGGTCGGTATAGTTCGTTTGCGAACTAAAGCCACGGAGTTTTTTTTTTTGTTTAGCACATAAAATAATAACATGACTCTCCTAAGTCTATTGTTTGTTCTCCCTGCGATTAAAATAGTTAAAGAGTGATTCAGAAATTGAAATTATTTTAATGAAATAAGATTATGGCCTAGACACGCACACATTAAACTTCTTCTGCTGTGTTGAACACTACAAAGATGCTAGTGTCCGACATAACGCACACTGTGACCTCTGTGAGTATAAATTTGTAGCTTATAACGTAATACAAAGAAATTATAACTCTTTTTTTCGTTAAAATATACGAAATGGGCTGAACCAGGCACGCTGACAGCAAAAATGGTAATCAGTGTGTTGTAACACGTACATTTTTTCTGTTATCCTCATTTCCTTGATATGCGGAACACGAAGTCACGTGACACTTATTAGGCGGTTTGAAATAATGCCGCTATGTAAATGGGAATTAAGTTCTTGACGGTAACCAAGCATCATATTCTCGCATCATGGTCGACAAAAAGTTTAAGAACACCAAGAAAAAATGCGAAAGTAGGCTTCTATAGCTCAAAATGCGCAAAACAGTGGCGTGATAAATGCATTTTTGGGGTGGTATTCCGTATTTGGAATCTGCGTATGAAAATTAATTTAAGAAATCTGTTTTTCCTTATGTTACCATATCTCTGTTGATAGTGTTATCAGTACGTGACTCGTAGTGGTCTGCGGGAGTCCCAGTATTGTAGCCTCTTTCACTCTTCTTGCAGATGCTGCCGCCTCTCGGATGACGTGGCCCATGGATCTGTGGCTGGTCCTCCTCCTGCTGTTGGCCGCGCACTCTGACGGCTCTCGGAGGCAACACCGCATCGAGCTCAGCACCGAGTTCTTCCTGGTGCCGGAGCGCAGCGTCCCCCCGCCTCCAGGGGCGAACCACAGCACCGGGGTGAGCGAGGGCCCCGGCGTGCTGCGGCACGAGGTGTGGGTGGTGCCCCTGCTGGCACTCTCCTCGCTTACCATGCTGGTGATAGCGGGCTTCGAGGTGTTCGTGCTGTGCAAAGCGTGGCGCACAACCCCCAGCCGGCGCCATTTGTTCTTGGGCCAGATGTTGCTGCTAGGTCTGTTCTTGTGCTCCGTGCTGGGAGCCGTACTGGCCGCCACACCCACCCCCGCCACCTGTGCCGTCGTACGGTTTGGGACCGGCTTTGCGTACGCCGTAGTGTTCTCTGCCCTGCTGGTCAAGTGCGTGTTCCTTATCAGTCTGAACGGCGGTGTGTACTTGCCGGCGCCCTACCAGGCGCTGCTGCTGCTGTTCGCTGTGCTGATCCAGGTGGCGGTGGGCGCCCAGTGGCTACTCAACTCTCCGCCTCGCGTAGAAATGCCCCCTCACCATCACCGGCTGGTCGTCACAGCCGAGGACCTAACCACCGACCCGCTACTCTTATGCCACACCCCCTACACAGACCTGCTGCTCTCCCTCCTGTACGTCATGTGTCTTATCCTCTTCGTCGCAGTCCTCGCCATCAAGTCTCGGGGGATTCGCGACAATTACCGTGAGGCAACATTCATAGGACTGGCCGTGGGTTGTAGCATCCCGGTGTGGCTCATCTGGGTGCTGTGTGGCCTGGTGGTGCCCGAGCGCCATCGCGACGCCTGTCTCGCCTTCGGCCTCGTCAGCACCGCCACCATCGTCTTCCTCGTCATGTTCATGCCGAAGGGACGGCAGCTCGCCGCGATGGGCAAGGAGGGAGTGTACGTTGAGGACCGAGAGGAGCGGTTCAGCTCTCTTAGTCCGGCGGGATCGGGCTACTCCCCATCGTTCTTTCACTTCAAACCCGTCAAGTACGCCTCAGGGCCAGGGACGGCGTTCCCCGCAGGGATGCTGCCCACCCACAAACAGACGTCCGCAGTCACGACGCTAGCAGGTACTGTGTTAGCCGTATAACGGTGGTCAAAAAATCATTTTATAAGATCTCAAGTCATTTGGTTTGAGAAATCAACACACGAGGCGCTTCTAACCGAATGTAAACAGCTTAAGTCCATGAGGGCCGTCATTTCCACCGTCAGTGGGACTGCTTTCTACAGCCTGGGTATAGACCCCTAGATCTCCGGATCTACCCCGCAAGTTTGTATCTAACCCTTATTAACAGAGCTTCCTTACCTGAAACATCGATTTAATACATATGTGCCACGTTTAAACTATGACGTGTTTCAGCCGTATACGGCCATCGTCAGGTAACGTCAGGAAATGTCGAGTTTGTGAAAGTATTGCATCCGTTATACAAGTTACATTACACAATGTTTGGGACCAGTTCATATACCAAAAGTCATGGTGGGGTTTCAAAATATTATATGTATTAAACGGAATATGGTACATACATTAAACATGAATTATATTAAAGAACAACTCAAATAGTTTTTTTTTTCACATGCTTATTGACCGCCTCTGTGGTCTAGTGATCAGAGTTCCTGGCTACAGTTTCAGAGGTCCCTTGTTCGATTCCCAGAGCTGCCAGATTTTCTGAGAAGTGGTAGGTCTAGAAAGGGGTCCACTCAGCGTCGTGAGGATAACTGAGGAGCTGTTTCAAGGAAATAGCGGCTCCGGTCTAGAAAACCGAAATTAACGGCCGTGGGGATCCGTTGCGCTGACCATATCACATCCTCTATCCGCAAAAGTTGGCTCTAACTTCGCCGACAAGCAGCGGTCGCTCGGTCGGTATAGTTCATTTGCGGAATACAGGCCACGGAGTTTTTTTTGTTTCTGTTTATCGAAGTTATATGAGGGTTCCATTGATGGTTCTGCAGACATCTAAGCGGTATTCCATCTCCTGCCACTCTCGACCAAGAACATTAGAACTGACAGATGTGGTATCTTCTCCGATTCGATGTTTCAATTGTTGAATGTTGTGAATACGAACACTATAGACGCTTTGCTCCACATACCCCCTGAAATAATAATCAAGGGGTGTCAGGTCCGGGGAGCGTGGGGGGCCATTGCTTCCATCCACCCCTACAAATCCGGCGCCGTGGAAATATTTCGTCAACAAATTCCGTAACAATGTTGGCATAGTGCGCAGGAGCGCCATCTTACCGAAAGTAAAACCCAGACGTTTTCTTCAGAACGCTGTGAAATGTTGTTTTTGAAAGTTCCACGTAATTCTCCAGCACATTTACGCACTGATTTCTTCGGACTTCGGATAAAATTGTTCCGAATGTTTTCCACTGACTCGTCAGTAACGGATGGTCTTCCAGAAATGGTAGTTAAAACAAATTAAGAGTCAGGCTGCGGGCTAATTAACTCCCAGTACAGGGTTACCTTAATTGTAATTAATTTGATCAAGAAGTTATCTCGTCATATTGAACCTGAAGGTGCAGCTCTTTTGTTCACATCAGATTGTCATGGACCGTATCCTGAGCCTGTCGACTCTAGTCCTCGCTTTCATACGATATTTCTCCAAGATCAGCTTTAGTATTCTCCTGTCTTCTACAGTAATGTCTCCTAATTGGTATCTTCCGTTCGGAGTTTTCGGCAAAAGTTTCTTGTGCATTTATCATCATCTGCGCGGGTGCTGGGTGTCTGACATTGTATCCTTCCGCGTGTCATCATCCTAGCAGTATTAATGGTAAAGCTCCTCGTTATGATGTGTCCTTTATTGTTTTAATATAATTTTCCGCATTTGTCTCAAAGGAACTTGGACCCATGTTCTTCTCTGAGAGCAAGATATTTGTTTCACACCTACGAGTATATAAGAACACTTGAAATTGTGATTTTATATATTCTAATTTTTATTATTTAATCTGGGACACGGGAAAATAATATATTGTGAATGGCATTATGGCGGTTTTTATCCGAATTTAATGTGCTCTTCAGGTTGCTATTAACTTGTTTTCCATTAGCGTAATTACTGTCCTTCGCAGATACATGATTTTTGCTATATATTCTCATCTGACTTCCTGTAGGTCTACTAAATGTAACTTACTAGTGAAAAATTGAAATTAACGAGGAATAATTTCTTTAATGTCTTCATTCCTCGCGCTGTCTCCCAATTATCCCTTGCATACTATTTATCTCGACCCTTCTTCTCCGTTAACACACTGAATTAAGCTACATATTTAACTGAATTGAAGAAAATCCTTCTCATCGGGACTTGAACCCCGAGACATTCTGGCTTGTAGCATAGTGCCTCAACCAACTACGATATCGCGTTGTGTAAGCTTTTCTTTTTTTAAATTCGCTAATGGGGGGTGGAGTTCAGCTGGGTCCACTCGGCACTGCGGCCACTGATTGGCCAAGATGAACATTTACGTATAGACAGGAATAATTTTTTTTTTCGGGAAGTTGGTGTAAACAGCGTGACATTAAAGTCAACCAATAATGTTACATTTTTGCTGTTAATTAAGGGGCACGCGGTAGCGTAAGTTGGTTGAGGCACTATGCTACAATTCGGAAGGTCGCGGGTTCAAATCCCGATGGGGTATTTGGATTTTTTAAATGGATCTAATCCTTCCAGCCGCACTATGGCCCTGGGGTCGACTCAGCCTCTAACAGAAATGAATACCAGGAATATTCTCGGAGGTAAAGGGCGGCCGGCGCGTAGGGCTGACAACCTTGCCGCCATCTGTGAGCCGATTGTCTAGAAAATGTGGGAGCCTCAATTTCTCACAACCCTATGGGCCTCCACGGCCTCTTACGGGGATAGCGTTACCTTTTACTTTTTATAGGACTATGTAGCATCTGCATAAGAATTTCACATGTGGGGAAAATATTCCTCCACACATTTTTATTGTCCGGTCTAGAAAATCGAGATTAACGGCCGTGGGGTTTCGTTGCGCTGACCACGCGACACCCTCTGTCCGCTAATATTGGCACTAACTTCGCCGACAAGCGGCGGTCGCACTGTCGGTATAGTCCGCTTGCGGACTAAAACTACAGAGTTTTTTTTTGAGTACGCAGTTAAAATAAATCGCAAAAGATTTTTTTGCAGTTTTAGTTTGAATTTTTGACACTTGGCTCTTATTGGAGTAAGGTCGGAGGTGCAGAAGGGTAAGCCTTTATTTTCCACAATGAATAGTATCACCAATGTTTTAAACAAAATAGTCTCTCTCTGTGACTGTTGCATAACCTCGCAGAGCCAGAGATGCGATAGTCGTGTTATGGAAACTGTGAAGTTACTGTTAGCGGGAGAAACCCGCTGTACTTGTTACATCAAAAATTCCACATGAACTGTTGCGAGATTGAACTCTGGCCTCTGCTATGGAAAACCGCATCTGTATGAGCCTCTAAATTTTGTATGTAATGCCGTTTTATGTGTTTGTCTGGTGTGCTGTGGCTAGTGCATAGTTATAAAATCTTGTAAAACTGCCACTACTGAAAGCACCTTCTTACTTATTTTTATTTTTTTTTTATTATTGCTAGTGGGGTGCGACTAAGTCCCTTGTACTGCCGCCACTTCTGGCCTATTTTACCAGCCCCAGATGATAGGTGAGGGTGATTGTGGAGCAATTGTTGGAATGAAGATTGACAAGGGAAACCGAAGTACTCGGAGAAAACCCTCCGCAACGCCACTTTGTCCACCACAAATCCCACTTGACCAGACCCGGGATCGAACTCGGGCCGCCGCGGTGGAAAGCCAGCGACTAACCGCTTGAGCTATGGCGCGGCCACCCTGTTACTTACTTACGGTCCAAATCTTTAACCCCAAAAATGAACCATTACAAAAGAGAATATGATTCAGTCACCTACTAGGCGATGTCGGGAAGAGAGGCAGGAACCAGCAAGAAAACGAAAGGAAAGATTGTGGCGAAATAAACAATTGGAAAGACTTTTCGTCCTTGGGCTCATATAAACTGGAGAAAATGTTGGAAGAAGGCGGTCTAAACGCTCCTGAATTCGGAATATAAATTACCGCTCCCTTCTCTTGATAGTCAGTTTCTGACATTTGACCAGGGAGGTGATTCCAGTTTGGTAACCTTCCAGTAAACTTGCAATAAAATAAATAACAAAAGATGACATTCGTGTAGGTATAGGCTGTAAAATAGGATCTGTATATTAGCATTTTTTATTTCATTTTATTGGTTTCACTTTTCTTGTTGTCAGACAATCTGGCTGTGTCCCAGCGTGTGACGATGTGATTATGAATCCTATTCCTGACAGGTCCGTCTCTACTTGCTAGGTGCGCCGTTTGGCCAGCATCTGCTGTCTCTGGCATGCCTGTCTTCTTCTTCTTCCGTTTCTTATTTTCCCATTCAATCTTCATTTTTCCCGTCGATTCTTTCCTCAGTGCTCACCGGCTTGGTGGGGGGGGGAAGGGGAGGAAACACCACACATCTGCCCCCACTCATGGATTTTTTTTAAAAGAAATTAAAACTGAACAAGAAAGAAACGCACTGAATATTTGTACTATAATTAAAGTTGTTTTTAACGTGGCGCCTTCTCTATTTCAGTATACAGGGTGTTTCACGACTTTAGGGCATAACTGTAGGAGGTGATTTCCTAGGCATAAACATGTGTCCGATTTTGGACCGTTACGGAGTTACGACCGTTTCTTCATTCCCGTACACGCCCTCGTGTGAACCGCGTCTGTCATCTGGCGGGTCGCTATTTTTAGCCAGCTACAGACAGAGCGTCCTCGTTATCTCGATACTTGAGAGCTACCTAAGGCGTGGTGGGTTGGTATGTCTGGCGCGGTTCACAACCGAGCGGTAGCCTGTGTTGCGGCCGGCGGTGGCATTTTCGAAAGTCAGCTTTAAGCACCAATAAATTCAAATTAAATCTAATTTCACGAAGTTAACTTTACATTCATACTTTAAATGTATCATGTATTATGCTGGTTTATTATTTTGTTCCGTTTATTGTCAGTAATCGTTACCTTCTATTCTGAGTTTAAAACGGTCATAACTCCGTAACCGTCCAAAATCGGACACA